GACTACCTGCAGTCGCATGTGTATTCTGCGCACATGTGCGCACCTACCAAGCAGGTGCTGGTCGACGGTTTCACCGCCAGGCACATTACGCAGTTGCCAGGTAGGAAACGTGTCGTCGATAACGCCAAGTGCCCACCGTCAAGCGCGTAATGCCGTTCTGCAAGTCAAACCTCGCCAAAACTTCTTGGGCAAATTTTGCACATCTCCACAGAGTTTTGCACATCTCTACGAATCCGGTCGACCAAGTCGACGCCACTCGGACAAAAAGCGTTTGCCGAGCAGAGCTCCTCGACCAGAGCTCTTCGACCAGAGTTCTTCGGCGGGCCTCGTAGACCAGCACTTCTCGACTTGCTCGTTGACCACTGTCGTCGACCAGCGCTCCTCGACGGACCTCGTCGACCACTGCTACTCGACGGGCCTTGTCGACCGCTGTCTTCGACCAGCGCTGCCCGTCGACGATGTCGACCAGATTCCGTCGAGCTGGGCCTGCTTGACTGCTACCTCTGTCGAATAGCACTCGACGACCACTCCGTCGAGAGCTTCTCGTCGATGGCGAGATCGGCTGCGCCCAAGCGAGGGCGGGGCCTTTTCTCCTCTTCTGCACTCCCCTGCCCAACTCACACTTGGGCACCTACACACAAGGTCCACAGAATTTTGAGGGATAGAATACAAGGAGAAAACTCTGTCGGCATGCACTCAAAATATAGCACGCAGGTCACCGCACCAGCCATGCAGAAGAAAAGATTTGGGTACCGAATTACGCCCCGCTACGGCAGATCCTATTAGAGGAATTTCATGACGTACCTTACGCGGGACATTTCGGGAGCAACAAGACGTTAGCGGGAATAGCGAAGTATTACTACTGGCCCCGGATGGCAACAGACGTGCAGCAGTTCGTCACCTCATGCGACACGTGCCAGCGGATGAAGAGTAGCAAGCAAAAAAAGCAGGGTTACTTCAACCTCTACCCGTACCGGAGCAGCCATGGCAGGTCGTTAGCCTCGACTTCATCACAGGACTTCCCTCGACCTCACGGGGACACGATTCCATCCTCGTAGTAATCGATAAGTTCTCCAAAATGGGTCATTTCATACCGACCAACGCCACAGCTACAGCTGAAGCAACTGCTCGCCTCTTCTTCGACCGCATCATCACCATCCACGGCATCCCCGCTACACTTATCTCAGACAGAGACCCAAAATTCACAAGTAAGTTCTGGAAGGAGCTTATGGGACTGCTGGGGACCAAGCTTGCCATGTCTTCAGCATACCATCCCCAGACTGACGGACAGACAGAGCGACTCAATCAGGTGGTTGAACAGTTACTGTGCACAGCTTGCAAGGACGACATCAGCCACTGGGACACACAGTTACCAACCCTAGAGTTCGCTTACAACAACGCTTCACATGCGGCCACAGGAAAAACCCCTTTCTTCCTGTGTTACGGACGGGAACCACTCACACCACAGCAGCCGACCACACCGGCACACGTCCAAGCCGCACACGACTTCGTCACCACCATGCAGCAGCTATGGGAGAAGACTCAGCAACGTCTCACCACGATGCAGAACTCCCAGAAGTAGTATGCCGATCGCCAGCGACGAGATCACTCAGTAGCAGTCGGAGATCAGGTGCTTCTCGACACGCGCAACTTGAACCTGTCTCACCTACCATCCAAACTCCGGCCTCGCTTCTGTGGTCCTTTTCTCGTGGAGGCACAGGTGACACCAGTTACATTCCGCTTGCGCTTACCAGATACGTGGAAGCTTCACAATGCTTTCCATGTTCAGCTACTGAAACCCTACAAGGACCCCAACCAACAGTTCCAGGGACGGCAGCTACCGCCACCTCCACCTGTTCTTGTGCAGGATGAAAAAGAGTACGAGATCGAGCGCGTTCTCACTCATCGGCGCCGTGGCGGCAAGACCCTCGAGTTCCTGATACGCTGGAAAGGATACGACCCCACTGAGGACCGTTGGGTTGCAGAAGCTGATATGGGCAACGCACGCCGTGCTCTCAAGGACTATCTTGTCAAGCAGGGTGTATCTCACGCCACCCAGCTTTGAGGGGGGGACGTGTGAGAGTACGACGGCTTATGCTAGCTATGCATGCTTGCCTTTACTTTATTATGCTACTTCTAGCTTAGGTTTATTTTATGCATGCATGAATTGCTTGATTTCCTAGGCTAGGTGCTTTCCTATATTTTATTATAGTTATAGCACCGAGCTAGGTTGCGTACACCGAATTCTGGGCTATTCGGTTGCCACCGAATTGCCTTCTACCGAATTCGGGAAGGGTCTGTTCGGGACGCTTCGCGACCCCCAGAACCTTCGCGTAACACCTGGTTACTGCCCCTTGTGTCGAGCCTATATATAGCCTCGTGTTGTACCCAGGTGATCATTCAATTCAAACTCTCTTTTCTGAGCTTGATCCTAGATCCTTACAGCGCCCGTCACCCGTCGCGTCGCGTCGCGTCGCGCCCTCCCCTCCCCGCTGCCCGTTGCGCAAACCCTAATTGCCCGCCCTACCCACCCGCCCTACCTGCGCCCTCTCTAACCGCCCGCCCTACCTGCACCCTCTCTCCCTGACCACCCTAGCCGTGCCCGCGCAAACCCTAACCGCCGCGCCTGCACGTCTTGCCCGCCGCTGCGCCTACTCGTTCCGCCCGCCGCCGCGCCTTCTCGATAGCCCTGCCGCGGGCCCTCCCTTCGCGCCGCGCTACGACCTACCGTTCTAGCTGCTTCTAGTTTTGCTATGGCGACCCCTCGGGTCCTTCGTTTTGATGCTGACGGCCGACCACTCGAGTTTCCGGTCTGGCTCCTATGCGCGCGTCGCTTGTTACAGAGTCAGGTTCAGTCGGGCGAGACCCTCTGGGCCCACGCTAGTGGTGTCCTCCCTGCGCCCCCCGACCCTACGCCTTTAGGCCCTGCCCCTGACGAAGCTGCCAGAGACCGCTTTGCCCACCAACATCCTGACCTGACTGTGTGGACGTCGCGTGACGCTGCGGCCTGCATCGCACTCAGCAGCCTCCTCCCTGAGTCTGAGGAGGCCCACTTCACTCAGGTTCGCACTGCTAGCGAGTACCTGACTGCGATTAAGGCCCGCTACGCTACTCCCACCACTGTCTCTCTTGGCCGACTCTTCCTACCGTTCCTGTTCCCCGATCTAGCCTCGTTTGAGCGCTCTGCTGACTTGATCGCTCACCTGCGCTCGCTCGACTCTAGCTACCGCGTTGCTTGCACTACTTCCCCCCCCATGGCGATTACTATCTACTTCATCGCCACTAGCCTCCCTGACCGCCTTGCCTCGGTTCGTGACGCGCTTCTTCTGAAGCACCCTAGTGAGCTCACTATTGAGGTCCTTGAGTCTGCGCTCAAGGACGTCGAGAGCAACCTTCGCTCTATTGCCGCCGCCTCTGGTGCTGTGCCCCCTCCACTGTTTCAAGGGGGCACTGTCCCACAACTGCCCACCTTTACTGCCTCTCTCGCCACTGCCGCTACTGACGTGACCGCAGCTGCTGCTACGACTTCGTCTCGGTCTCGGAGTAGGGGTGGCAAGAGGGGCGGTCAGATTGCGGGCGGCGGCGGCGGTGGAGGCGGGGGTGGTGGGGCTGGAGTCGCGACCGGTGGTGGTGGGAGTGCAGGGCCTGGAGAGGCGTCTCGTGCAGCGCCCAATAACCCCCCTGCTGCAGCTGGTGGTGGCGATGCCCGAGTTCGTCAGTTGCTTCCCGTTCTACCGGCCGCAGTGGGTGGAGCAGCGGCGTGGTACCTGACTCAGCGACAGCAGCAGCAGCAGCAGCAGCAGCAGCAGCAGCAGCAGCAGCAGCAACAGCCGCCGCTCCCCTCGCCGCACCCCCCGCAGCAGCAGCGGCAGCAGCAGGCTTCGGGTTCGGGCCAGCGTCAGCTCCAGCGAGCTAATGTCCACCCTCCGTGCACCCATCCGGTTCAAACAGGTGCTTGCCGAGGTCAGCCGTGTGGCCGCACTCACCCTCCTGGTCAGTGCTTTGCTCAGCTTACTGACACGGTTCGTTTGGCCTTCGGCGTTGGCGGCCCTGCCCCTGACTGGTTTCCTCTTGTTCAGACGTACGGCTCCGCTCTGTGGGGCATGTTAGCTTCTCAGTTAGTTGATCTCTTAGGAACTCCTCATGCTATGTATGACTCTAGTGCTTCTGACTCTGTTTACTCGAGTGTTGTTAGCTTAGGTGCTAGTGTTGCTGATTTGCCTGTTGCTAGTGTAGGTACTTGTGTAGACACTAGTCCAGGAGCTGCTTCGGAGGAGGCCTCGCTGTCTTTCACTCTGGACTCTGGGGCTTCGCACTGTTTCTTCCGCGACCACACGACGCTTACACCACTTCCTGCGCCGGTCTCTGTAGCACTGGCTGATCCCACTTTGGGACCAGTCACTACTCGCTTCACTACTACGCTTCCTTGCCCAGCTGTTCCGTCGGGCTCACTCACGGGTTTCTACGTCCCCTCGTTCTCGAGGAACTTGGTGGGTGTGAGGCCTCTCGCGAGTCAGCACGTGGGTGTGTGGGTTGAGCCCTCTGGCGAGACTGCGGTTTGTGTGGACGGGGACTCGTACACGCCTCTAGCCACCTTTACTGCTGAGCCGGGCTCCGGCCTCTACACACTTCGCACTGGCTCCCAAGGGCAGCAGCAGCAGCAGCCGCAGCAGCAACAGCCACAGCAGCAGCAGCAGCAGCAGCAGCAGCAGCAGCAGCAGCAGCAGCAGCAGCAGCAGCAGCAGCAGCAGCAGCAGCAGCAGCAGCAGCAGCAGCAGCAGCAGCAGCAGCAGCGGCGGCTACTGCCCCCGGCTCCTGTCCCTACCCCACGTCTAGTCCTTGCGTCTCACTAGGTTGCTGCGTCCCCCTAGGTAGATGTGTCTACTCAGGTTCCCGTGTCTAGTCCGGCTGCTGCGTCTTGCTCCTGCCGGTCTCTTGCCCACCCCACCGTTCTGTGGCACCACCGGATGGGGCACCCGTCCATTCCTCGTCTGCGTGCTATGTCTAGTCAACGTCTTGTCCTAGGCCTCCCGCGTGTCTTGCCGTCGCTGCCGCCGTCCCTTGCGCCACCGTGCGGTCCTTGCGTCGAGGGTCGGCTGCGCGCCACCCCTCACTCCTCCTCCCTTCGTCCGGCCACCGAGCCTTTTGAGACACTCCACTTGGACGTCTGGGGCCCCGCCCCCCGCCCTAACCCTGAGCGTGAGCGTTTCTTTCTGGTGGTCGTTGACGACTACTCCCGCTACACCACAGTGTTCCCCCTGGCGAAGAAGTCTGAGGTGACTTCTACGCTGATCAGGTGGTTGCTTACCACTGAGGACACTCGTGGTCGTCGTGTCAGCTGTCTTCACTCCGACCGTGGGGGTGAGTTTCGCTCCGGCATTCTCGCTGGATTCTGTCACGAGCAGGGCATTCGTCAGTCCTGGACGCTTCCGGAGTCCCCACAGCAGAATGGAGTTGCTGAGCGCCGCATAGGCTTGGTCATGGAGATCGCCCGCACCTCCATGACTCACGCCCGTGCCCCCCATTTTCTGTGGCCCTACGCGGTTCGGTACGCCGCTCACCAGCTGAACCTCTGGCCACGTGTCTCTCGGCCAGAGGTTTCACCGACCAGTCTTTGGACCGGGTCCCCTGGTGTTGCGTCGCGGTTTCATGTCAGGGGTTGCTTGGCGCTTGTTCGCGACACCTCCGCGGACAAGCTCTCGCCTCGCGCCGTTCCCTGTGTCTTCCTTGGTTTCCCTGAGGACTCCTCTGACTTCACCTTTTACCACCCTCCCTCTCACCGGTTCTTTGACTCCCGTGACGTCCGTTTTGAGGAGTCCACCCCCTACTACGTCAGGTACCCCTGTCGAGGTCTCCCGGTTCCTCCTCCCCCTCTCTTCCTCACTTCCGCTCCCCCTCCTGCTCCCACTGTACAGCCTCCCCCCCCTGGTCCAGCCCCGTCCGGTGTGTCCCACGCTACCCCTCCCCCCTCGGTAGCCCCTCAGGTGCAGCCTCCTTCCTTGCAGTCCTCCTCGCAGCCTACTGCACACCCTGCGGGAGCCGGTGTTCATGGAGAGGACCCTGCAGGTGCTATCTCTAGAGGCGTTGGAGTGGGAGCAGAGAGCGTACCTGTGCCGAGTCTTGGTTTTGGGGGTGCTGGAGTTGAGGTTGAGCCCGTGGCTGCGGGCGACTCTACTCTTCCGGGAGCTGGTGCTACGTCTGGGGGTGCTGCGTCTGGGGGTGAGGGAGCGGGTCCTGGTGAGCCTGGTCGTGTTACTGTTACTGGTGCTGACCCTGGGGGTGGTGCCCCTGGTGCTCTGGAGGGCCGTCCTGAGGCTGCTGCGGCCCCGGACACTACTCCTCCCCACCCCTACCCGACCCGCCACCAGGCTCGTGTTCGACGTGCCCGTGAGGAGCAGCTGGAGTTGGAGAGAGAGGAGCGAGAGTTGCAGCGGCTCGAGGAGCAGGAGCAGCAGCAGCAGCAGCAGCCGCCGCAGCAGCAGCAGCAGCAGCAGCCGTAGGAGCAGCAGCAGCAGCAGCAGCAGCAGCAGCAGCAGCAGCAGCAGCAGCAGCAGCAGCAGCAGCAGCAGCAGCAGCAGCAGCAGCAGCAGCCGCCGCAGCAGCAGCAGCAGCAGCAGTCGCCTCCTCCTCCTGTCTCTGGTCTTCGGACCCTCGGTCTCCCCTCTCGCTCTCCTTCCTCCTCCCCCTCTCCTCCTGTCTACGGTCCCACGTTTCCTCCTCCTGACTCCTCCCCCGCTGTTTTCCCCAGTTCGTTCTCCCCCTCAATCGTCTCCTCCTCCTTCCCACGCTTGGCCCTCTTGTCGCTCTCCTCGTGCTCGTCCCTCGTCCCCTGTCCCTCGCTCTCACAGACCTTCGCACTGCCCTGTTCCGTCCTAGTCCACCTCGTTCCTCTCCGTCCGTGCTTCCTTCTCCCCCTTATTCAGCCCTCACTGCTTCCATCTCTACTCCTCTCACTGACTACTATCGCACATACCGTCCTGTTCTCTCTCGTGTTCTCGCCTCTCTTGTTACCCACCCTCGTGCCTCTCTGTCCTCTGTCTCCGCTCTTACTGCCGCAGTCACTGAGTTTGCCTCTACTCGCCGCCTTGACTACGCCACCAGTCTTGTGGCTGCTCCTCCTACCAGTCCTCTGGCCGTCGGGGGTGTGTCTGCCCTTGGCTGTGACGCCCTAGAGGACAGGCAGTTTGAGCTAGAGTTCCTGGCAGCCGCTTCCCCTCATCTCTGTGCCATGCTCCTCTCCCCTAAAGGAGACCCTGACGCCTTTCACATACCGACTCCTCGCACTTACACTGAGGCAGTGTCAGGGCCTTGGGCCTCTCAGTGGAGAGCTGCCATGGACGCAAAGATGGCCTCCTACAGATCCACAAGCACCTACGTCGACGAGGTTCCCCCCCCTGGGGCGAACGTAGTCGATGGCATGTGGATCCATAGGGTGAAGCGGCCACCAGGATCTCCTCCGGTCTTCAAGGCGCACTACGTGGCTAGAGGTTTCTGTTAGCGCGAGGGAGTTGACTTCTTTCAGACCTTCGCGCCTACCCCGAAGATGACCACTCTTCGGGTGTTACTGCACGTAGTAGCAGAGAGAGACTACGAGTTATACTTTTTGACTTCTCTACAGGGACCCCTCGGTGACTTCTCTACACTTCTCGACAGATCACCAGGGACAGAGCTGCTCGCACCATTACACTCTCACAGTCACACATGGTGCAGCAGGTCCTTCAGCGGTTCGGGCTTCAGCACTCCACAGTACAGCGCACACCTCTTGCTGTTGACCACAGACTTACTGGTCCTTTTCCTGACGAGCCGTTTGAGCCTAGTGGTCCCTACGCAGAGCTGGTGGGCTGCCTCATGTACCTGATGACCTGTACTCGCCCGGACCTCGCCTTCCCTCTCAGCATCCTTGCTCGCTTTGTTGCGCCAGGGAGACACCGTCCTGTTTACTGGACAGCAGCTGTGAGGGTGGCGAAGTACCTAGCGACGACATCAGGCGTGGGGCTGGTTCTTGGAGGGCAGCAGTCTGTCGTACTTACTGGTCACTGTGACTCCTCTTACGCTGACGACGCTGAGACTCTCAGGTCTACTCAGGGGTACTGCTTCAGTCTGGGTTCTGGAGCTGTTTCTTGGAGGTCCACGCGTTCCTCCTCGGTCTCGACCTCTACCGCTGAGGCTGAGATCTACGCTGGTGCCATGGCGGCACAGGAGCTGCGTTGGTTGACCTTCTTGCTCGCTGACCTTGGTGAGCGGCCGAGCTCTGCACCGACCTTGTTCACTGACAACAAGGCGTCGATTCTCCTCTGTCAAGAGCCGCGACTGGAGAGCAGAGTGAAGCACATTAACGTCAGGTACTTTCTTCTGCGAGAGTTGCAGAGACGTGGACAGGCTCGCTTCGAGTTTGTGGAGTCCGAGGCCAACACTGCAGACATCTTCACCAAGGCGCTTCCGCCTTGTGACCACCAGAGGTGCTGTGTGCAGTTAGGCCTTGTTGACACTGGTTCTCGTCTTACGTAGGCTTGAGTTTACTGTTTGCTTTGCTTGTACACTTGCTATATACCTCTGTGAACTCTTGGGGAGGCTTGTGGCCTTTGTTGCTTGTGCTCAGAGTGTGTGTGTCAGAATGTGATGTTTGTCTAGCCTGCAGTGGGGTAGATAGCGAGTACAGCCCAGATTAGGGTTTGCTATATGTACTCAACTGCCTGCTAGTGAAAACTGTCAAATGTTGCTACTCACTAAGTCCCCCCACCTGAACCCTAATTTGCCTCTTACCTCCTGCTGTTACTCGCCTGCTCGTTCGCGTTCGTTCTCGCTATGGCGACTCCGCGAGTTCTTCGTTTCGACGCTGACGGTAGACCTCTTGACTTCTCCGTCTGGCTTCTTCGCGCTCGCCGTCTGTTAGAGAGTCAAGTCCAGGGGGGCGAGACCCTCTGGTCGCACGCTACTGGTGACCTCCCCGAGCCCCCCGAGCCTGCCGCTTTAGGTCCTGCCCCTGACGATGCTGCTACGGCTCGCTTTGCCCGTCAGCGCGCTGACAGGACGGCTTGGACGTCGCGTGACGCTGCGGCCTGCATCGCACTCAGCAGCCTCCTCCCTGAGTCAGAGGAGGTCCACTTCACTCAGGTTCGCACCGCTGCTGCGTACCTCACTGCGATTAAGGCCCGCTACTCTACTCCCGCTACTGTCTCTCTTGGCCGTCTTTTCCTCCCGTTCCTGTTTCCTGATCTCGCCTCGTTTGAGCGCTCTGCTGACTTGATCGCTCACCTCCGCTCGCTCGACGCTAGTTACCGCGCTGCTTGCACTGAGGCACAGCTTGCACTGCTTCCTCCCCCTATGGCGATTACTATCTATTTCATCGCCACTAGCCTCCCTGACCGCCTTGCCTCCGTTCGCGACGCGCTTCTGCTGAAGCACCCTAGTGAGCTCACCGTCGATGTCCTTGAGTCTGCACTCAAGGACGTCGAGAGCAACCTTCGCTCGGTAGCCGCTGCCTCTGGTGCTGTGCCCCCCCCACTCTTCCACGGGTGCACAGTCCCGCAGTTACCCACCTTTACTGCCTCACTTGCCACTGCCGCTACTGACGCGACTGCAGCTGCTGTTACGACTGCGTCGCGGTCCCGCGGTAGGAGTGGCAAGAAAGGCGGTTCTGGTGGTGGTAGTGGAGGTGGAGGCGGAGGTAGTGGAGGTGGCGTTGCGCCTGGCGGCGGTGGAGGTTCAGGGCCTGGAGAGGCGCCTCGTGCAGTGACTGGTGACTCCACTGCGCCTGCTAGTGGTGGCGACGCCCGAGTTCGTCAGTCGCCTCCTGTACTTCCTGCCCCGGTTGGTGGAGCAGCGGCGTGGTACCAGGCTCAGCGTCAGCAGCAGCTTCTGCAGCACCAGCAGCCCCTCTCCTCCCAGCAGCCTCAGCAGCAGCAGCGGCAGCAGCTGGCTCCAGGGTCGGGGCTGCGTCAGACCCAGCGCGGTGCTGCTTACACTCCCTGCACCTACCAGGTTCTGACAGGCACTCGTCGTGGCCACCCTTGTGGCCGGTTTCACCCCCCTGGTCAGTGCTTTGCTCAGCTCACTGACACGGTTCGTTTGGTCTACGGGGTTGGTGCTCCTGCCCCTGACTGGCTGCCTCTTGTTCAGCGCTACGGCTCCGCTCTCTGGGGCATGTCTGCTGAGCAGTTAGTTGATCTGATTGGTACTCCCCATGCTATGTATGCTGTTGTTGACTCTAGTGTTTCTGACTCTGCTTACTCTGGTGTTGTTAGCTTAGGTGCTAGCCTTGCTCAGTTGCCTGTTGCTAGTGTAGGTTCTTGTGTAGACTCTAGTCCAGCGGCTACCTCAGAGGACGGTTCGCTGTCGTTCACGCTGGACTCTGGAGCCTCTCACTGCTTCTTTCGTGACAGCACGACACTTACGCCTCTTCCTGCGCCTGTTTCTGTGGCGCTGGCTGATCCCACTTCGGGACCAGTCACTGCGCGTCACACTACCACCTTGCCGTGTCCGGCTGCTCCTTCTGGGTCTCTCACTGGGTTTCACGTCCCCTCGTTCTCCCGGAACTTGGTGGGCGTGCGACCCCTCGTGAGTCAGCACGTGGGTGTGTGGTTTGAGCCTTCTGGAGAGACTGCGGTGTGTGTTGACGGGGACTCTTACCAGCCCCTCGCCACTTTTGCTGCTGAGCCGGGCTCCGGTCTCTACACTCTTCACACTGGCCCGCGCGCTCAGCAGCGACTGCAGCAGCAGCAGCAGCCGCAGCAGCAGCAGCAGCAGCAGCCGCAGCAGCAGCAGCGGCAGCAGCCGCAGCCGCAGCCACAGCGGCCGCCGTCGCAGCAGCCACTCCTCCCAGTTCCTGTCCCTCCCCCTAGTCTCCTCCCTGCGTCTCACCAGGTGGTTCCGTCCCCTCAGGTTGTCGCGTCCAGTCCAGTCGCTGCGTCTTGCTCCTGTCGGTCGCTTGCCCACCCCACCGTTCTGTGGCACCACCGGATGGGACACCCTTCTCTTCCACGTCTGCGTGCTATGTCTAGTCAGCGTCTGGTCTTAGGTCTCCCGCGTGTCTTGCCGTCGCTGCCGCCGTCTCTTGCACCACCGTGCGGTCCTTGCGTCGAGGGTAGGCTGCGTGCCACCCCTCACTCCTCCTCCCTTCGTCCGGCCACCGAGCCTTTTGAGACGCTGCACTTGGACGTCTGGGGCCCCTCTCCTCGCCCTGGCCCTGAGCGTGAGCGTTTCTTTTTGGTGGTCGTTGACGACTACTCCCGCTACACCACAGTGTTCCCCCTGGCGAGGAAGTCTGAGGTGACTTCTACGCTGATCAGGTGGTTGCTTACCACCCAGGACACTCGTGGTCGTCGTGTCAGCTGTCTCCACTCCGACCGCGGGGGCGAGTTTCGCTCCGGCATTCTCGCTGGATTCTGTCGCGAACAGGGCATTCGTCAGTCCTGGACGCTTCCGGAGTCCCCACAGCAGAATGGGGTTGCTGAGCGTCGCATAGGCCTGGTCATGGAGATTGCCCGCACCTCCTTGACTC